ACAGCTAATGTCTCCACTGGGCCTCCCCCTCCCCGTCCCCGTTGGCCCCTCCCCTGCCCCCTGCCCGCACACTCCCTCCCTCCTGCTGCTGCGTCGAAGTCTCCGGTCGCCTTTGGGCCTACTTGGACCTTCGCCTATTCGTGCGCGCCATAGTGCTGCACAGAGGGAGAGCGAAGAAGGTCGAGCACGAGGCACAGATCCCCCAACGGCGACCCCGAAGGACGAGGCTCCCGTGAGGAAGGCTTCTCAGGTCGGGTCGCCTCCCGGGACGCGAGGCCTGGCGCTGCAACCCCGGCCGACACGAGGGCAGCGGCCAGCGGAGGAGGAGGCCTCGGAAGGAACAGCTGATTCTGACCAGTTTAGCGCCACAGGACGGAGGGAAGAGCAAATGCAGCTGGTATTAATTCAGGATCATACACATAAACAATCTCTCTCTCTCCTCTCCTCTCTTCTCTTCTCTCTCTCTCTTCCTTTCTCCTGCCGCTTCCGTCTCCTTTTCTCTCCTTTGTTTAATGCGAAGAATTGGTAACTTCGGATCCAACAACAGTCTTCGAACCAGTTTGTCTCCTTTGTATATGTGAGTCTGATTTGCTTAAATGGCTTTCGGTGAACGGTTTTGAAATGGCTTAGATGGCGCTTTCTTAGCAGTTATCTTTATTTTCGTAATCCTTCCTCTCTCTCCCAACATACTTTTTATATAGAGAGGCAAAAAGGGGATAGCTAAGGTGCAGAGGCAACGCGCGCGGCGACTAAAACGCATTCTAAATAGGCCACCGCTCTTCCCCTGCGAGGGAGGCTGACTGACAGACGGACGGATTTAGGACTTCGCCCTGCACCCACGGGCCGCACCCGCAACGCAAGTGCCTCTCACTCGAACCCGACCCGCAACACAGAGAGATTTCCTTCGACTGGTCCTCCCCCTCCCGTCCCCGCGGGCCCCCTCCCCTTCCCCTGCCGCACACTCCCCCCTCCTGCTGCTGCCGCGCCCGAGTTCGCCCGTGAAAATAATTATCCTTTGTACTGCCTCCAGATCTGCCGCAATCCTCCATCGTCCGGCCTCCCCAACCGTCCCGCCCATCTTTCCCTTCCCTCCGGACGGTCCTTTCTTGCCCTCGAGGCCTGTCCCTTCCCCCCACGCTCCCCGGCCTGCCCGAGTCCTCCTCGAGCCTCCCTCTCCGCCCCCGTCGCCGTTCCTGTCCAGCCGAGATGCTTGACCTCTTTCCCTGTCTCGCTCACCGCCCTCCGGCTTCACCGCGCGCTTATTCTTCGTTCCGCTCGCTCGCTCATCCGGCAATCCTCATCCGCTCTCCCCCCTTCCGGTCTTCCCAGTCTCTCTGCCTCTCCCTTCGTCCTGTCCCATCATCATCATCATCATTGCGGAGCTAACGCCGACGGGGGCGCATAGCCGCATCCACCCTTCGCTTGTACCTGCGAGGGTCCCTCACGGCAAGTCGCCAGGCAGGGACTCGGCCATCTCAAGCTCCTCACGACAGGTTTCATCGATCTGCCCAAGCCACGACTTCCTTGGTCGACCCACAGGCCTCCTCCACCCAGGGTTGTCTCGAACAGAGACAACCTGGTGGGCGGGGTCATCCTGAGGGAGGCGAGCCAGGTGGCCGTAAAGCCTGAGTTGGCGACCACAGATTGTGCAGATAACAGGTCCTGTGCCAGTCTCACGGTGCAGCCGTTGGTTGGACACATGGTCCCGCCAACAGTACCCCATGATCCGGCGCAAGGACCTATTACAAAAGGCATCAAGTCGAGACTCCAAGGCGCAGGATAGTGTCCAGGTTTCGCTACCGTAGAGCAAAATTGGTATTATCAGGACGACCTTAAAGACACGTAGCTTGGTCCTTCTGCACAGGTACCGGCATCTCCAAATACTCTTGTCGAGAGAGTTCATGACCCCTGCTGCCAGGCCAATTCGCCTGCTGACTTCATGGTCTGACAGCCCAGAGTTATGAACTACACTACCAAGGCATGTAAAGCTCCCTGTGACTTCAATGTCCTCGCCGCAAGCACGTACCGACTGAACAGGTTCCTCACTGATGGGTGGGTCCGGCAGCGGAATCACGGCACTCCCCGCATCCAGGTTTACTGTTGGTGGGTCAACCTGGTACAGATGTATGTATGTATGTGTATACACACACACACACACACACACACACACACACACACACACACACACACACACACACACACAACACACACACACACACACAAACGTAATCTATCTCGCACTCTCTCTCTCTCTCTCTCCCTCCCTCTCCCACGCACACACATGCATGCGTGTGTGAGTGAGAGAGACTCAGAAAAATAAGCCTACATACATGCATATATATGCTATATAAAAACACGATATATATACACGTGTGTGTTTCCCTCTCTGTGTCTGTCTGTTTATCTGCCCGTTTATGTGTATCCCCCCCCCCCTTCAGGCTATAATAAACTGCATCCACCCCTTCCCGCCCATATGCACAAAATAACACTTACTAACTTCAGAAGCAGAGGGAAGGGCAATCACGTCAGTCTCAGGTCGCGTTAGGCCACGCAGTGTTGACCTCCGGGCGGGTCACAGGGCAAGGTCAAACCCTCGTCCGGTCGTCCCTTCGGCTCCCGTTCCTCTGCTGGTTGCATTCTGCAGATAGAACAAAGGCGCATGAAAGCACCGGAAGCGTCTATGGTGCACTCAGAAATTATTGTCAACACTTGCCCGAGTCGATAGTTTATAAAAAAATACGTATTTTCCTTCTACAACTTTTATCAAAATTAATCCAATATTAGCAGATCTTTGAGAATGTCTGGGGGCAGGCCTCAGCCCCTCTGCCTCGGCCCTCGCAAGCGCTATTCCTTCTTGAAATAAACGAAAATTTGAGTTAAAGCAGGACAAACCTTTCTCCGGTCCCCTGTATGCAGCTTGGCAGAGTTGGCACTCTGCCAAGGCGCTCCGGTGCGGCCGCGTGAAACTCACCTCGATCCAGCCTTCCTCAGGCGTCCGTGAGGGTCGTGGCTCTCGTGCAGATGGCCGAGGAGCACGAACCCGGAGGGCGCTGTGCTCGCCCACGACGTCCCTTCCGTCGCGGGGAGCGGGGCTGGTGGCCGGCGGTCGCGGCTCGGTTTCTGCGCTGCTGGGCAGAGGAGGGGGGAGGGGGAGGGGAGTGATGGAGAGGGGGAGGAAGGGGGAGGAGAAGGGGGAGGGGAGGGGGAGGGGAGGAGAAGGAGAAGGGGCGGAGAAGGAGAGGGGAGGGAGGGGGAGGGGGCGGAGTAGGAGAGGGGGTGGGAGGGGGAGGAGAAGGAGAGGGGGAGGGGGTGAAGGAGGGAAGAGGAGGGGAGAGGGTGGGAAGAGGAGGGGGAGGGGGGGAGGAGGAGCGTGGGAAACAACCCTGGCGCCGCCCTGTCTGGGTGGCGTTAAAAGACAACGTATTCGTTTATTTTTTTCTCAATTTCTTACACAATAGATTTGTTTGGGTGATTTCGTTCATACCTTGCATTTTGAAAAGTAAAAGTGGGAAATTGAAAATCCGAGCCAAGGATAGCGTTTCAGATGATAAAGGTGAAAAATGTAGGAACCCGAGAGAAGATTCGGTCGCGGATGATTCGACCCGGTGTTGCGCGAACGAACGAGCGAGTGAACCAACCGCTTCTTAAACGCACGAACGACCAGTAGGCTCGTTTTATGGACCAGAAATCACTCCTAACCCCCCCCCCCCTTCCCGATTGCCGTATTTCCCGATGCAAACAAACACCAAGTAGTACTTCAACTCTGGCTTTACTTTCTTATCCGATAATCAGACAAACAGACAGACATAATAAGAAAAACGACAGTAAGAAAAAGAATTAAAACGAAAAAATCGAAATGACCCTTTATCAAAGAGAAAGAAACACTGCATAAACAAATTAAAAAAAAAAAAAAACGGAAAAACAAAACAGGGCACAGATAACTTTTCGTTCCGAACAAGAAAGTTAAAAGGAAGGAGAGAAATTGTTTGGGACTCAGATTCTCCCGACCCTTATGCTGCGTTCGGAACTGCTCGTCTATCTCGTCCAGACCTCTTGTCCAGGACCAGCAGGACGAGATGCGCCGCGTTCGGAACCTCCAAGACCCTTTCTGCCCAGAATGCAACCGGCTCGAATTAAACATTCACTTATTTATCATACCGGTGTCTTTATTTTACACACTGCATAGGTTTTGTAACTCATTTGATGCACATTTAACTTACCTGCAACTGACAAACACAAAAATATCCTTTGATAACACCAATTAAGGGTCATAAAATTACCAACCAATATCTTGTGGTTCCCTGCAACTGTCAATGTTTACATACAAAATCTATTGTGACGTCATCTCGTCCTGCTCGGCCACCTTCGCAGGAGGGCGAGTTGGACGAGCTCGACTACTTGTCCGGGACGAGATAGTGGAGGTTCCGAACGGTCAAAACATCTCGTCCAACTGGTCTGGACGAGACAGACGAGCAGTTCCGAAGGCAGCACTAGCGCGACTTCGTGAAAGGTTTTCTCAGAACTGTGGATGAAGTGGGTCGCTATCCTGCTCAGGAAGAGGTGTTTATCATTGTTCATTAATCATCATCTTCAACACTGCTTTTCTATAGCATCGTTGAATGTTACAACATCTTATTCTCTCTCTCTCCTTCCTCCTCACTCACCTCTTTGTCATTCCGTCTACCTCACCCCCCTCCTCTCCCTCTCCCTCTCTCTCTCTCTCTCTCTCTCTCTCTCTCTCTCTCTCTCTCTCTCTCTCTCTCTCTCTCTCTCTCTCTCTCTCTCTCTCTCTCTCTCTCTCTCTCTCTCTCTCTCTCTCTCTCTCTCTCTGAGAAAACTAAGGAAGTAAAGTTCGCATCAATGTGTTTAAAAAAAGCGAAAGATCATATACTTTTGTGTGGTATGGATTCAGCCAAATTACAAAAATAAGGTACGCTTGAAACATCACATTATTCAGGAAGAAATACAGTCAGCCTACAAAAGCAGATGATTTATGAGAAGTAAGTGGATTAACGAAAGCTTCAACAAAGAAACGATAAGACGGACACAACGGAGGAAATTACTTCCCGAATACAAATGAAAAAATATATATATATTAAGGTGATATAATATTTAAAAAAAATTAAGGTGATAAAACCCGGTGATTTCCAAATAACTTTATGACGGGCGCTTTGCTACGCTAGACGCTGCTTTCGCTGGAACAAGCTTAAGAGGACAACAGTTGTGAAGAGAGATAGGGGGGGGGGTAGAACGCGAGAAAGAGAAAGAGAGAGAGGAGGCGATGCACAAGCCAAAAGCAACCCGTCCTGTAAGTCTATTTTCCCCAAAGAAGTAACGAACCAAACTGCTGACCTTAATCATCCAAGTTTTTATAAGTGTAAAGAGGAAAATGTCAAAATATATCATCGCTTCTTCTAAATCTGCAATATGTGAAAAATAGTGCTTTGGTTTTCAATAATTTTCTTCCACAGAGTAAGACGCCCAACGGCACGCACTCACGCCAGAGATCATGCAAGAAATGCAGTCTTGGATCTAATACTTTGCACGTTTGACCGTTTCCGTTGCGTGTGAAGGACAATGCTTCATGATGGACACGAAATTCCATTTTCGAAATGCTGTTGACAGTGTCAACGTTGACACTAAAGGTAGCTGACGAGCCATCTAATTACAGGCTATATTCCGTAACCGACTGCTGTTGCATAAAACCCTCTCCCAACCCTCAGTTGCTGCCCCTCGACACCGTGGCCGAGAGGGTAAGGGCGCCAGATTCGAAACCCGCGATCGCGAGTCCGAATCTGCAAAAGGGAGCCAAAACTGTTCCCTCTGATTGCAACCTCGCCCGGGGCTGAAGGACATGGAAAGCCCCGGGCACAAAACGAACAAGACGCCCGCCGGTTGGAATAATTTTTTCCCTATTGTGTATTTTTATGTATGTATTTGTACTCATATGTGTTCGAGTGGGCCATATGCAACTCATGGTGCTGTTAAAAATTAATTTATTTTCCATTTCAGTGTAGGACGTCAAGGGAAGACATATTTCTATGTAAAATATACGTATATTCTAATGTAATTGCATATATGTGCATTAATATGTCCCTGAAATTCTCTCTCCATTCATGTATCTGTAAACATGTATATAAACTTGTGATGTAAAATCGAACAGGAAAGGTGAAGGGAAAAAGCGAAGAAACACTAACAATATTGAAAAACAAAACAATAACTAGAAAAATAAAGTAAAGTGTGAAAAGGACATAAAGTGATGGTAGAAAATGCGTTAAAATACGATAAATATGCGAGAAAGACAAATTAAGATATGAAAATCATAGAAAACTGCGACAATAAAACAGAAAATAAAGGGGGAAAGTGAAAATAAAGTTTCTTTCGTTGCTATTGGTTCGTCTCTTCGCCGCTGTTGATCTGGGGCGCTGGCGTCGCTACGAGATAGGTCAGGGAGTTAGGAAGTTGTGTGTGGAAGGACAGGGAGAGGGAGAGGGAGAGAGAGAGACAGAGACAGACAGAGAAGAGGGAGGGAGGGAGAGAAGAGAAAACAGAAGAAAGGTATATAGGAAGAAAGAATAGGATAGAAGAAAAAAAACAGAGACAGATGCATTAAAGCAGATAAGTAGACCAATGAAATAATAGTTTATTCACGCCCTCCCTTTGCTCCTTCCTTCTCTCCGGAACAGAAATCGAAGCAAGTCATCGACTCAGACTGCGAACTCGATTCATCTCCTTCATCTAAGACAGATATGAATAGGAAGAAATGAATCTTATTCCTTTGGCGCTTAGACATAAGAACATCAGAAAATAGAACGAATTTTGTAGTAAATAATCCTCAAAGAATTCATTCTTTTGGCATTGTTTCATTCCAGTTCTTTCCTTTTCTCCGATTTTCGTAAAAGCAACCCGCTCGAGTGTCGTCTGCTCTCTGGGAGACAAAAGCGAAGCGCAAACCGTAATTGTTCTTTCTCAAATGTTTATATTTTCATTTTTTTACTTCGTTTAATCTGTATACAAAATGCGTGAGATATGTTGAATGAATTTGATTTCTGTCATTTTGCCAAATATGATTTCCGTGTCTTGTAATAACCTTTGTGACTTCATAGATATTTATTGGCGGGGCTTGGTAGTAGTAACAATAAGAGGCAGATAGACAGAGTGGGAGGGAAGGGAAAAAGGAGAGAGAGTAAAATCTCTAAGAAAGTTTGCCTCTCAAGCCATGTCGCTCACCACTTCAAACGCGGATCCAGAGGCACTTTTCGAGGCTCAACAAAATCTGACGGTGGAAAGGTAAGGCTTCGTGTAGGCCTAGAGCCAGACTTCGGGGAAAGATACTTTATTACATCTCAATATCCGGGTTATTGGCCGGCCAATCCTTTCTCAAGGGCGCCAAGCAGATTTCCCCACGCGGGCAGGGCCACCATCCTGCTGGAGAAGGCAGGCCAGTTAGAGAATCTGGGGATTTCCCGTGCGATGCCCAGCGGGGGTCGAGGGTCGCTGCTTCCGCCGGTCACTCGCCCTCGGCTGCAGGCAGCGTCGCAGGCCCCGCGCCTGACCAAGGCCTGAGAGCCAGTCCTTCTCGCTGCAGGCAAGACCTTCCAAGGCCAACCCTACGATCTCTCTGTGCCTTCGACCAAGCCTAAGAACACTTTCATCAATTTGCAGGTTTTTTAGTTCCATGTCCTGCCTTCTTTAATCCAGTGATACGGGCAATTGCATTGATAGTTAACTCATTTCTAGGTTCCCTTGTAATGATACTGTTCTTAGAGAAATAAAGAAAATCGTGTGACAAAGAGCGGCACGTCCTCATCCCGCGGCGGCGAGGGAGCGAATGGCTGGGATCTCTCTCGCTCGGCCGGCCCGGCGCGGCGCCAAGGAGTTGCCAGATACTTTTTACAGTCGTTTTACCTCAGATATTAGAACTTTTTCGCTGTAGGTACACTTTAGGCCTTTTTTTCCGCCGCCACCGGGCTGTAGTACTACAGTATCCAATTCTTAGCTCATGACTCCGCCCCTAATCGTGGGGGCGGAGTCATATATAAGCAGACGCACCACGCAGAACATCACAGCCCCTGAGAAGGGCTTCGGGCACCATGCCAGAGAGGCCCTTAGAGAGAACAACTTACCAGAGTTAGATCTCGGGGAGGGTGACTCATGGGGCATCCTTAAAGTTGTCCAGCCCCCCAGACAGCCGCCAACAGTACTCCCTGAATCCTCCCACGACCAGGCCCTGGAGAGCCAGCTGGCCATGATACCCCAGACCTCCCCACCACCCCTGTGACAGCCCCTAAAGCCTGACACCTCTGTGAGGCC